ACAAATACCCCCCCGCAACTGAAAATATCGCTGACTGGATTCGAATCAGTCTACGTGAGAACGTCGTTTACTCAAAAGTGAGTGATTTTGAGTAGCCCCACTTGTCGCTGAGATGAGTCCATTCGACTCAATTTTGAGTTGACCAGAATAAGCGTGTACGAAACACAACACCTACACGCTCGTCTGATTTTACTCTAAAGTGAGTAACTTTGACTCAATTTCGTATTTGTATGCTAAATGTCAAAAACTGAGTAACATTAATTTAACAAAGTGAGTAACATTTACTCTAATTAAATAAATATGGATCTTTACTGTTTTGAGTAAGATCAAATGTAATAAACGTCCGAAAATTTTGAAGTCCTGGGCTGAAAGCAATTTTCCCGAGAAATTCCCACAAAGCGTTCAAAGAGTGAAAGTTTCAGCGTTCTGTGAAACTTGTTTGGACTAGTAACTAGCGTGAGTAGCAGTTGGTGTTTTTTCCTTAGATAAACTTTATTTCAGCCCAAATTTACACAGGTTACGTGAACTTCTGCAACAACTTTTGGTTGTGAACTTCAGAATCCCAAGCTCAATCCAAAGGAAAGTTCACTATGAGAGAATTACAAGTAAGCTTTATGAGAAAATCGGGAAATAGCAATATATTCAAAAAGAAAATAATTTTCAGAAAAAAAATGCTGAGAAACTGATCCGTAAGTTGTGCCATGGAAGCCGCTCAGTCCATTTCGAGATGTTCAATATGTTACATCCCTGGTTACTTCTCGGAATGAAAATAGCACCTGGAGATGATAGCTGCAGTGGCCTTCGGAATCGCTTAATAAGCAGAATTATTATCAATTTGTTAATTAGAGTTTATAATTCTATTGTGATAAAATAAATCATTTTTATTATGCTTCAAAAAAAAATTCGATCAAATAATTTCCTGTCAAAATATAATATTTACAAAACTGAGTAACCTTTACTCAGTTGTGCTAATATTGCGAAAACCGAAACTGAGTAAGTGCTACTCAGATTTTGACAGATTCATACATTACTCAAAAGTGAGTAAACATGGGGTTACTCACTTTAGAGTAGTTCCACTTTTAACGAAAGTGAGTGGAATTTTACTCACTTTAGAGTAAATTTGAACGAGCGTGTAGTGATGTCCGATTTTCCCAGCTAATCGATTATTTACTAATCGATTACATTTTTTAATGATTGTAATCTACATCGATTAATCGACAAGAAATAATCGATTGATCGAAATAATCGATTAATTTTAATACTCTCTGATAATAAAGAAAACCAACGTCTTTAAGAAAGTGTTTTAGCCGACGCCGGTGGTGTAGTGGTAAGCGTGACTGCTTTCTAACACCCTGATGGGTCTGGGTTCAATCCCAGCCGAGGTCGGTGGGATTTTTCTGAGGCATAAAAATCTCTGGTCACGTCTTCCTTCGGAAGGGAAGTAAAGCCGTTGGTCCCGGCCCATGTGTGTTGCATGGGTGCGATATCCTACGCAGGTGTGGAAGCTGCCTTCCTGCACAATGGATGGCAATCGATGTCCGTCGGTGATTGGCACTAGATTGCGGAACAGAGACCGACGTTAAATAAAGGAAAGAAGAAGAAAGTGTTTTAACCAGATGTTGATTATTCATCCCTGGATCATGTGTAAATTATTGTTTTGAGATAGGGGAAATGGCTCTGATGTTGGCCTATGATGTCGGCCCATCACTAAGAATCAGCTATTTAACAATGTTATCTAGATGAACGCATCATTGGGACGGCTCTAATGGATATTTTTGGTCACTATTGAAAATTTAGACGATTGCTGAATTTATATATTGGCCCAAATTAGGGGAATTTAGGCCGAAATTACATCCATTTCTCCTATAACGTTTCAGTAAAATACACTTTAGCTCTTTAATTGTGTTTTAATTAATGGTGAGAGAAAAGACAATTGGGTTCTTTAAGGGTATTGAGGTAAATGCATATTCGTAATCTGCATTAAAAATGGAACCCAAACCCAAAATTTCATCAATTTTGGTACACTGGAACTATTTTAAATATGTACAATTACATTTGCAAAAATAACCTTATTAGCGCCCCTCGGTGTCACTTTATATGGGAGCGAGCTGTCAGTTGGTCAGTTTAGTGTCAAACAGTGAAATTATTATTTTTCTTTAAATCTTGATTTAAAAATCTAGATGGAAGTGTGTGGGTTCGAAAAAAATATCGCTGTGCTCAGAAAACAAAGCTCTTTCAGATGATATATAAAAACCGATATATTTTTCAAAATTAAAGAACCCAATTTGCATCTTTATAACGAATTGATTTTGACTTTCGACTGCAATCTCAATGCCTGAAAAAAACACTACTCAAAACAAACAATTTCTCCAATAGTATATCCAGAAATAGTATCATGTTCAGATGAGGGCCAGACAAACGGTTTCTCAACATTGTTATTGTCTGACCTGCTTTAGAAAATAGACGTTCAGAACTTAAAGTTGGGGTGGAACATAGTTTAATTGATGCTCTGTTGGCTTGGTGGCAAGTTCTACATACTTGGTTGAAGATGCAAAGCGTCAATTAAAAGACTTAAAGTGGTCATTTTTATACGATAGATGACGATGACAGGAGCACGTAAAGTGATAGAGGCAACAATAGCTGCAATTTTCAAAACTACGACTAGATGCCTCCCTTCAGATAACGACTAGAACTGTTTCCCCACATCGTAGGTACATGAGCAAATCAGCGATCAGCTCTTTTTGCCAGTGGTGGCGTGGGAGACATCCCTCACCATCCCTCTCCAACTGGGGAGTTTGGTAAAGAGAGATGATGAACCCGATTCGTGCCTTCCTCAAAGTTGACCTTGCTCGCTCGCTATACAATTTTCACACTGCCGTACTCTAACGGAATTATCAACTCTATACCTTCATCTCCTCATCTATTGTATAAAAATTACCACTTACTAACAGACTTATTATTTGACGGTTAGTATCTTCAAATATGTAAATAGTTAACTTCACGCATGTAGTAATACACACAAAATAGTTAAAGTGTATATACACTAAAATAAATTCAACTCCTACTTCCAATAAAAAAAAATCGTGCGTTAATCGAAGCCAATTAATCGATTAGCAGATAATCGAGGCATTAAATAATCGATTCAAAATTAATCGATTATTTTAACAGATAATGGATTAGCTCGATTAATCGAGTAGTAATCGGCCATCACTAAAACACCTTGATGAACTTTAAATTGATGTTTGCCCGCATGGTTTTCCAACACACTTGTGGCACAGTGGTTAGCGTTCGTAGTTCGCATGCCGAATACATGGGTTCGAATCCAGGAAATTGCTCTTTAATTTTTTTAGGATAGAACATTGATGCACTAGAAGTGGCGCCGGTGGTGTAGTGGTAAGCGTGATTACCTCTCACCCCAGCAGGCCTGGGTTCAATCCCAGTCGGCGTCGCCGGGATGTTCTGAGGCAAAACATCTCTGATCACGCCTTCCTTCGGGGAAGTAAAGCCGTTGGTCCCCGGTTCATGAGTTGATGGGTCGATAGGTAGGGTCCAGGTGTTGGAGCTGCCTCTCTGGCGTCGGTAACATTGGTGAAAAAAAAATGATGCACTGTTGTGTTGTTGTGAATGTTGTGTTAGAACTTTATATGCACTTTATGAAACTTGCAGGTGGGTTTTATCGTTGAATGCGGAACTTTTGGTTGCTTTGGAAGATAGTTCTGTCGGAAGTTTATTTGAACTTTATGGAACTTTAAAGTTCTTTCGGAACTTTATTTGAACTTTATTGAACTTTAAAGTTCTTTCTGAACTTTATGGAACTTGAAAGGTTTGTCGGAACTTTATTTGAACTTTATGGCACTTTATGGTGAAGATCGGAAACTCTTGTGTGGAAGGGACGATCAAGGACCATCTTCAGCACTCTATTTTGAGCAACCTGGATTTTGTTCCTATGATTTCATTCTGTAGTAATGTTACGTCCCAGTTGACTATAAATTCCATATAAGCCTTAACCGTTAAACTGCATAGTCTACACAGGAAACATAATATTTTTTTATGTTTTATGACAGGCTTGTTGCAGACAAGTGTTTCCTGTACCCTGATTTTGATTAGAGGGAACTATGTTATGGGCGCTTCTTAGAGGGATCGTATGTATTTAAGGCGTACATGGGAAGTCAGTGAGTAACCAGCACTGGTCTAGTATAATACTGAAAATTTAAACTCAAATACAAAGTAACATTGACAAAGAGCCAGCACTTGATAAGCATGACCAGAGCATATCGACTCATAAACGGATAATTATATATTGTGTTATCTTTCATTGCTTCAAGATCGAGACATGTTACTGTTAGTGAGTGATTATGATTAAGCCTCGATTATACCATATCGAAACGATTTTATGGCCGTTTAACACCTTATAATGACCGACCGGTAGTAGCGGGATTCTATTTTTTCGCCCTACACCGGGCAGTCACAACAAACGGCGAGCGATTAAACACTTATGCAAACGATCAAATTTCAATTCACGCGGGGTGCGTTAAGACAGATGCGAAAAAAAAACTCTGTGCAAGAGTAAGTAAGACCGACCGCAACCGGAGATAAAGTGCGCACACAAAAGTTGCAAATAATGAGATGAGACTCGCACGCCAACAAACTATAATCCCTGGCATAGCTTAAGCCCGACACGCACGCACTGCGCTTCCCAAACCCTCCCAATCGAAGTCACGTGGATGTTTTACACTAATTGTGTTATTAGTTCAGGAAGTTTGGCGTCGATCGTTCGCCGGCTACCCGATTGACTAGACAAGGGAAATTTCTTCGCCGTGAGGGGGTTTGATACGATTGTATTCTAATTGATTGTTCTCAGCTTGATGTGGATGGGCTATTTAGTATACACATTTCTCTTAATTGTTCTATGGGGGTGAGCAACTTTTTTTTTTGCTGCTCCTATAAAAAGGTGAATCAGCATTCGAATAAGCATCAGTGCCTCTAGGTAGTTTATTAGAACGGTTGAAAGCAAGTGAAACAAAGAAAACAATCAAAATGAAACTGACTCTGGTTTTCCTGCTGGTTGGACTTGTGTGCGCCGTGTACGCTCAGGATGCACCCAAGGACGTCAAAGGTGCTGCGGATAAGGCCAAGGCCGACCTTCCCGATGCTTCCAAGGTAGATAAGGATGCCACGACCACACCTGGCCCGAAGGATGCTCAGAAGAAGGTCGATGATGCCACCGCAAAGGCTAAGGACGCTGCGGCCAAAGCCAAGGACGACATCTCCGGAGTCGGCAAGAAGCTCCAGGACGGATTCAAGCTTTAAGTGAAATGCATTTTCAACTTGAAGGTTGAAGACCAGTATAGTTAATTTATTGCAATCAGCGTTAAAATAAAAGCGTCTTCATAAAATTTCATTCTATCAAGTGTGTTAAGAGTTTTTGGAAACCGTTATCCGAAATTTTCCATGGAAATCGTGCGTTGTGGTTGTGCGATATGTTTGCGGTTAGTATCGTATATACTATAAAAGCAAAGCTGTGACTCGCAGCTTAGTATGTCACAAACAGTTCATCTATCAAGTGTTCGAGAATTTCAGTGCTAGAATCATGACCGAGGCAAACAACTTACTCGCTCTTCTCCAACGTCCTCTGGAGCCCACCTTCCTGCCGAAGAACGACGGTAAGACGGTCATCGATGTTCCGGATGACTTCCTAACCGATCGTTACCGTCCGATTGGAGCGGAGCTTCAATCTCGCTTTTCTGGAGATGCCGAGCAACGGATTCCTGTACGCACTTCAGCCCCACCGGACCTGTCCTTTGCCGCTAGCATCGATCGGCGTGGAGGGTTTTCTCTGTTCGTTGAAAAACATCGAGAAGCAGCTGCGGCTTTGATTACTCTGTTCATCGCTCAGCCAGATATTCCTACACTGATGAGCGTGGCGACCTACAGCCGAGATCGACTGAACCCGGTTTTATTCCAGTACGCCCTAGCCGTTGCCATTCAACACCGCCCTGACACCAAAAATGTCAATATTCCTTCGATCGTTTCTCTGTTTCCGGATCAATTTGTTGATCCAGCTGTATTCCCGAAGCTGCGTGAGGAAGGCTCAGTCGTTCAACAGGCCAGTCGGGTACGAGAGATGTCAGTGAATACGGTTACAGAAAATCTATCACGGTTCTCCTTTTATGTATTTCCACAGATGGTGATTGACATCCCCCCGAATTACACTGCTTCCGACCGTGAAGAGGAACAACGTCTTGCCTACTTCCGCGAGGACATCGGTGTCAACATGCATCACTGGCATTGGCATTTGGTGTACCCTGGCGATGGTCCCGATGCGGTTGTCCGCAAAGATCGTCGAGGCGAACTGTTCTACTATATGCACAGTCAACTGATTGCCCGCTACAACAATGAAAGGTTCTGCAATCGGTTAGCAAGAGTTAGAGCATTGTCTAATCTTCGGGAACCAATCCCAGAAGCATACTTCCCTAAGATGATCCGCAGTTCAAATGCTCGATCTTACCCGGGTAGACACGCCAACATCGCCCTACAGGACGTTAATCGTGTAGATAACAGCACCATCGTGCAGGTTAACGATCTTGAGCGGTGGCGTGATCGCATTCTGGAGGCTATTGATCAAGGATTTGTTCTGGACACCAATGGAACCCGCATTCCACTTGATGAAACACGTGGCATTGATATCTTGGGAGACATTCTTGAGTCATCGAGCTTGACTCCAAATCGACGTCTATACGGTAGTCTCCACAACATGGGACATAACGTCATTGCGTACATCCATGACCCTGACTATCGCTACCTGGAAGATTACGGTGTCATGGGAGACGTGACGACGGCTATGCGTGACCCAATTTTCTACCGCTGGCATGGAATGATCGATCAGGTTTTCCGTCGTTTCAAAGACCAACTGACTCCGTACACCTCGTCGCAATTGTCATTCCCCGGCGTAACAGTCAGCTCTGTAGGAGTACAGTTGACCCGTGCCAACACTCCACCGAACACGCTTCTGAGCTACTGGCAACGATCGCAGGTGGATCTGGCATCCGGCCTGGACTTCGGACCCGAGGGTAACGTATTTGCTTCGTTCACCCATCTTCAACATGCACCGTTTATGTTCCGTGTCCAAGTGAACAATGATACCGGAGCCGTTCGGAAGGGAACCCTGCGTATTTGGTTGGCACCGAAGGTAGATGAGCGTGGAACACCGCTGTCATTCAAGGAGCAACGGTTGTACTTTATCGAAATGGATACCTCGACTGTGACGTGTAAGTATTGATATTATCATGCCATCTGTTTAGTCACTTTGAATTTTTTGCGGCACATGACTAACGATTCACTAAATATACGTAGTTGAAAGTGTTGTTGAAAAGCAAGCATCGTGTTAAATTTTCAGATGAACACGGCTTTTGCGTGGTGAGATTTGTGCTTCTGAAAACGTGAAGCACAGAACAGAAGTGGAAGTGTGAACAAGTCAGTGTATCAAAAAGAGGAAAATTTTATTTGTTCATCATGCGATGCGATTCACACGGGTTTTCTATGGCCACTCACATTATCAAAGCATGCTGCCCATATAAACTTCAGCCAAAGCTTGCCTTCCGCCACTAAGTGCGCTAGTGTTTACAAAAAGGATATGGAAAATTATATTGTTTAACACAGCTCAATCGAATCCAAATCTTGTCCTGACAATTCTCTTAAAAATTGAGTTCATTTGGTTGTGATCTCATAATGGCTGACCCCGTGAAAGTTGTTTGATTCTCCGCGTCCTAGACATTCGCCATGATGATTTATGGATAACTTCATTATCCGCACACGAATAGAAATCAGTACCTAATATTGAGTTCCTTTCACCCAGGTTGAAAGTTGTGTAGGCCAACTTAATTTTGAGTTAACACGCTTGAAGTTGTTTTCATTTACTTCAGTGCTAACATTTGAAAACGGCGCAAAAGCCATTTGTAAACAAATGGTTTGTGGGCCCTTTACTCGCTACCCGAAGAACGCCCACGCAAACCAACAGCATCGTCAGGAAGGGGAAAATTTCCCCTACCCGATGTTGCTGTTGTGTCGCGTGGGTGTACTTCAAGTAGTGAGTAAAGGGCCCACAAACCATTTGTTTACAAATGGCTTTTGTGCCGTTTTCAAATGTTAGCACTGACTTGAATGTAAACAGATCGACAGTGAGCATGCATAAGGGCGTATACGCGATGATCGATTCTCTTCATCGTTTTTCTCTTTGCATTGCTACAGCTAAGCGAAACAATTTTGTAGAATTTGTTCAATGTAGAGTTGTAATAGGTTGTATTGGCTTTCAAAAACAACAACAAACGCATCGACAAACGTTAAATCTAGCGAGTTATTAAGAAAAGAGAAAATCGATGAAGAGAATCGATCATCGCGTATACGCCCTTATGAATGCTCACTGTCGAGATTATGTACTTGTACACGGAATCGAAAAATTACCCAAAATTAAGTTCTTTTCACTCATCTCCGAGGGGAGCGACACATTTAATTCTCAATTCAAGGTGTTCAACAAATCTCACATTGGCGAATCGATCTTCGAAAAATCTTCTTTCATTTCTCGCATCTACTTGCATCGCGCATCATCTTTTTGCAGGAAATCTTCAGAATCGTCATCAATCTTCTCTCTATCTACTCAGCGTGCGTGCAGCTAACAACAGCAAAACACAATTTTCCTGCATTGTAGATAGAGTCGCCCCCCCCCCCCCCCCGCTCAGCTCCCATGTTCCGTTCAATAAGCTAATTTCCGGTAAACCGCTTATTTGACTACGGCAAAAATAATTAATTACTCGTGAGTATTTTCTACCCAGTTGGCTCCAATTTGAGAATATCTCATATACTCACTAATAGCTTATTGAACGATAGTCATGAGAAAATCGAATCTCTCGTTCCGTGTTTAACAACAACAAAAAGTGAGAGTGGGGTGCAAAACTCAAAATTACCCAAAATTAAGGAAAAACAATTTAAATTTAGGATACTTTTTTTTCTCTGTGTAGGTTGTTTTCACAAAACGTCAAGTTCAAACTGTTCAGTATTAAGTTGAACACCACTTACTCAACGTTAACTTGGTGCACTGAAGATCCCCATTAGGTTGTATTGTGCTTCCCGTTTTTGACAACAAACGTGAGGGCAAATGAAAGACACCAACACAATGTTTAGTTGAAACAGCTCAATCGTTGGGTTTTTTTTTGTTTAGCCGTGTAGACCACTTATTGATTATCGTAGAATTTTTTTTTCTCCTCGTCCTAACCTTTTTCCATGATGATTTACGGTGGAAACTAACGGTTTTAAATTGGCTCACTACTTGACTAGCCCATTGGTTCCAAGCAAATCGATTAACGTACCCCATTCTGGACTACACTATGTTTGTTTTGATTCGCTATGAAAGTTTGACAAATAAAATGGGGGGTTCATGGATTTTCTTATATTTTGAGGGGTGCATTGATTAGCTTGGGACCGAAGAGAGTCAAAAAGTTGAGCACGTTTCTTGGGAACTTTCTAGACTTAGAGTTACCTGTTAGTTTGAAAAGCTAAAATTGCAATTAAACAAAGCTTATTTAATCATTGTTAAACTGGTCCCAACAAACAATTGAGAGCTCTTATAAAACACCTGAGTTGATCAAACGTTGAATAATAGCTTCCAGAGTTGAACAAGAATGTAGTTGTATTGCCATTTGATTAAAAGTTTTAAAAGCTGTTGGAGCACTCTTAAATGATTGTTTACGTTCGGTTTAACTATATGCTTTATAAGACCTACGATAACTTTTATAGCACCTTAGTTAAACTGATTCACAAGAGCTATACAGAACGTGGAATAAACGCATCAAAACAAACAATTGGGAGCTCTTATAAAACACCTGAGTTGATCAAACGTTGAATAATAGCTCCCAGAGTTGTACAAGAATGTAGTTGTATTGCCTTTTTGGTTAAACGCTTCAAAAGATGCTTGGAGCACTCTTAAATGATTTTTTACGTTCGGTTTACCTATATGCTTTATAAGACCTACGAAAACTTTTATAGCACCTTAGTTAAACTGATTGACAAGAGCTATATAGAACGTGAAATAAACGCATCAAAACAAACCATTGGGAGCTCTTATACAACACCTGAGTTGATCAAACGTTGAATAATAGCTTCCAGAGTTGTACAAGAATGTAGTTGTATTGCCATTTGGTTAAAAGCTTCAAAAACTGCTTGGAGCACTCTTAAATGATTGTTTACGTTCGGTTAAACTGTTTGACAGGAGCCATATAGGATGTGGAATAAACGCATCAAAACAAACCATTGGGAGCTCTTATACAACACCTGAGTTGATCAAACGTTGAATAATAGCTTCCAGAGTTGTACAAGAATGTAGTTGTATTGCCATTTGGTTAAAAGCTTCAAAAACTGCTTGGAGCACTCTTAAATTATTGTTTACGTTCGGTTAAACTGTTTGACAGGAGCCATATAGGATGTGGAATAAACGCATCAAAACAAACCATTGGGAGCTCTTATACAACACCTGAGTTGATCAAACGTTGAATAATAGCTTCCAGAGTTGTACAAGAATGTAGTTGTATTGCCATTTGGTTAAAAGCTTCAAAAACTGCTTGGAGCACTCTTAAATGATTGTTTACGTTCGGTTAAACTGTTTGACAGGAGCCATATAGGATGTGGAATAAACGCATCAAAACAAACCATTGGGAGCTCTTATACAACACCTGAGTTGATCAAACGTTGAATAATAGCTTCCAGAGTTGTACAAGAATGTAGTTGTATTGCCATTTGGTTAAAAGCTTCAAAAACTGCTTGGAGCACTCTTAAATGATTGTTTACGTTCGGTTAAACTGTTTGACAGGAGCCATATAGGATGTGGAATAAACGCTTAAAAACAAACCATTGGGAGCTCTTATACAACACCTGAGTTCATCAAACGTTGAATAATAGCTTCCAGAGTTGTACAAGAATGTAGTTGTATTACCATTTGGTTAAAAGCTTCAAAAACTGCTTGGAGCACTCTTAAATGATTGTTTACGTTTGGTTAAACTGATTGACAAGAGCTATATAGAACGTGAAATAAACGCATCAAAACAAACCATTGGGAGCTCTTATACAACACCTGAGTTGATCAAACGTTGAATAATAGCTTCCAGAGTTGTACAAGAATGTAGTTGTATTGCCATTTGGTTAAAAGCTTCAAAAACTGCTTGGAGCACTCTTAAATGATTGTTTACGTTCGGTTAAACTGTTTGACAGGAGCCATATAGGATGTGGAATAAACGCATCAAAACAAACCATTGGGAGCTCTTATACAACACCTGAGTTGATCAAACGTTGAATAATAGCTTCCAGAGTTGTACAAGAATGTAGTTGTATTACCATTTGGTTAAAAGCTTCAAAAACTGCTTGGAGCACTCTTAAATGATTGTTTACGTTCGGTTAAACTGTTTGACAGGAGCCATATAGGATGTGGAATAAACGCATCAAAACAAACCATTGGGAGCTCTTATACAACACCTGAGTTGATCAAACGTTGAATAATAGCTTCCAGAGTTGTACAAGAATGTAGTTGTATTGCCATTTGGTTAAAAGCTTCAAAAACTGCTTGGAGCACTCTTAAATGATTGTTTACGTTCGGTTAAACTGTTTGACAGGAGCCATATAGGATGTGGAATAAACGCATCAAAACAAACCATTGGGAGCTCTTATACAACACCTGAGTTGATCAAACGTTGAATAATAGCTTCCAGAGTTGTACAAGAATGTAGTTGTATTGCCATTTGGTTAAAAGCTTCAAAAACTGCTTGGAGCACTCTTAAATGATTGTTTACGTTCGGTTAAACTGTTTGACAGGAGCCATATAGGATGTGGAATAAACGCATCAAAACAAACCATTGGGAGCTCTTATACAACACCTGAGTTGATCAAACGTTGAATAATAGCTTCCAGAGTTGTACAAGAATGTAGTTGTATTGCCATTTGGTTAAAAGCTTCAAAAACTGCTTGGAGCACTCTTAAATGATTGTTTACGTTCGGTTAAACTGTTTGACAGGAGCCATATAGGATGTGGAATAAACGCTTAAAAACAAACCATTGGGAGCTCTTATACAACACCTGAGTTGATCAAACGTTGAATAATAGCTTCCAGAGTTGTACAAGAATGTAGTTGTATTGCCATTTGGTTAAAAGCTTCAAAAACTGCTTGGAGCACTCTTAAATGATTGTTTACGTTTGGTTAAACTGATTGACAAGAGCTATATAGAACGTG